GGGGACAGCGCGGTGACCTTGGGGACGCTTTGGTGACCCCGTGGTGTCCCCTTGGTGTCCCCAGATCGTGGTGACCGTGTGGCAGCGGGACACGGAGCCCCCGGAGCTGCAGGAGGGGACAGGGCCAGGGCCAGGGCCAGGCCAGGTGACAATGACAGGGACAGGGACAGGGACAGGGACAGGGACAGGGCCAGGGGGGTACCTGAGGCTGCTCCAGGGCCGCGCCCCCGGCCAGGTGTTCCGGCAGCAGCACGGGGCCTTCAAGGCACAAGGTGAGGTCCCCAAATGTCCCCAGAGTGTCACCTCCCCTCCCTGAGTGTCCCCAAGTGTCCCCAGAGTGTCCCCGAGTGTCCCCTCCCCAGTGGTGCCACCCCCAGGTGTTCCGGCAGCAGCACGGGGCCTTCAAGGCACAAGGTGAGGTCCCCAGATGTCCCCAAAGTGTCACCTCCCCTCCCTGAGTGTCCCCAAGTGTCCCCAAGTGTCCTGTGAGTGTCCTCGAGTGCCCCCAAGTGCCCCAAACCCCCCCGCAAGGACCCCCAAGGATTGTCCCCAACCCTGACTTGGGGACACTTCTGGTGCCACCAAGGCAGGACAAGGTCTCTTGGCTCAGCCTGGTGGCCCTGCCTGGCTGTCCCCAAGTGTCCCCAAGGCCCTCCCAGTGTCCCCAAGGCCACCCTGGTGTCCCCAAGTGCCCCAAAGCCACCCCAAACCTCTCAGTGACCCCCAAGGATTGTCCCCAACCTTGCCTTGGGGACACTTCTGGTGCCACCAAGGCGGGACGAGGTCCCTTGGCTCAGCCTGGTGGCCCTTGATGGATGTCCCCTGGTGTCCCCTGGTGTCCCCAAGTGTCCCCTGGTGTCCCCACAGTGTCCACGCTGCTGACGGTGCTGCCACCCCCCCGTGTCCGCTGCCGCCAGGTGACCGTGTCCGGCAAGTACCTGACCGTGCTCAAAGGTGACAGCTGGGGACATCTGGGGACATCTGGGGGGGTTGGGGACATTTGGGGGAGGTTGGGGACATTTGGGGACATTGGCGGGTTGGGGACTTTGGGGGGGTTGGGGACAAAGGGAGGGGAGAGGGTGGGGGGGAGAAAAGGTGGGAGGGTCACCCCCGATGTCCCCAGTGTCCCCTGATGTCCCCAGTGTCCCCAATCCCCTGGATGTCCCCAATGTCCTCTGGATGTCCCTGATGTCCCCAGTGTCCCCTGATGTCCTGGATGTCCCTGATGTCCCCATGTCCTCAATCCCCCAATGTCCCCAGTGTCCCCAATCCCCCAGTGTCCCCAATGTCCCCAATGCCCTGGATGTCCCCAACGTCCCCAATGTCCTTGATGTCCCCAATGTCCCCAATGTCCCCAATGCCCTGGATGTCCCCAGTGTCCCCAATGTCCCCAATGCCCTGGATGTCCCCAATGTCCCCAATGCCCTGGATGTCCCCAACGTCCCCAATGTCCTTGATGTCCCCAATGTCCCCAACGTCCCCAATGTCCCCAGTGCTGAACGGCTCGTCCCAGGAGGAGCTGTCCCTGTGGGACGTGCAGGTGCTGCCCAATTTCAACGCCAGTTACCTGCCCGTGATGCCCGACGGCTCCGTGCTGCTCGTGGACGACGTCTGGTGAGCACCTGGGGACACCTGGGGACAGCAGGGGACATCTGGGGATACCGGGGGACACCTGGGAGACAGCTTCGGGACACCTGGGGACACCTGGGGACACCTGAGAACATCTGGGGATACCGGGGGACACCTGGGAGACAGCTTGGGGACACCTGGGGACATCTGAGAACATCTGGGGATACCGGGGGACACCTGGGGACACCTGGGGACATCTGAGAACATCTGGGGATACCGGGGGACACCTGGGNCTGGGGACATCTGAGAACATCTGGGGATACCGGGGGACACCTGGGGACACCTGGGGACATCTGAGAACATCTGGGGATACCGGGGGACACCTGGGAGACAGCTTGGGGACACCTGGGAACATCTGAGAACATCTGGGGATACCGGGGGACACCTGGGAGACAGCCTGGGGACACCTGGGGACACCTGGGGACACCTGAGAACATCTGCGGATACCGGGGGACACCTGGGAGACAGCTTGGGGACACCTGGGAACATCTGGGGATACCGGGGGACACCTGGGAGACAGCTTGGGGACACCTGGGGACATCTGAGAACATCTGGGGATACCGGGGGACACCTGAGAGACAGCTTGGGGACACCTGGGGGCAGCTGGGGACATCTGGGGGCACCTGGGGACACCTGGGAGCACCACAGGAACATCTTAGGACAGCTGGAGACACCTTGGGGACACCTGGGAGCACCACAGGAACATCTTAGGACAGCTGGAGACACCTTGGGGACAATGTGGGGGTACCTGGGGCACCATAGGGACATCTGGGGACACCCTGGGGACAGCAGGGGACACCTGGGGGACACTTTGGGGATGGGAGGAGACCTTGAGGACACCATGAGGACTTTGGGGACAGTTTAGGGCCCCTGGGGACACCATGAGGACCTTGGGGACAATGTGGAGACCTTGGGGACACCAAGAAGACATTGGGGACATGTGCAGACCTTGAGGACATCATGAGGACCTTGGGGACATTGTGGAGACCTTGGGGACACCATGAGGACCTTGGGGACACCAAGAGGACATCGGGGACACCATGAGAACGTTGGGGACATTGTGGGAATTCTGGGGGCATCATGAGGACTTTGGGGACACCATGAGGACCTTGGGGACAATGTGGGGACCTTGGGGACACCAAGAGGACATTGGGGACAATGTGGGGACCTTGAGGACAATGTGAGGACCTTGGGGACACCAAGAAGACCACGAGAACCTTGGGAACGGGAGAGAACTTTGGGGACAACGTGAGGACCTTGGGGATGTGACCCGTCCCCTGATTGTCCCCACTGTCCCCTGATTGTCCCCACCGTCCCCTCGCAGCCACCACTCCGGGGAGGTCCCCGTCGGGGCGTTCTGCCGTGTCCCCGGGTGCCACTCGGGGTGGCCGTGTCCCCTCAGCGCCCTGGAGGAGCAGAACTTCCTGTTCCAGCTGCAGGCGCCCGAGCGGCCGCCCCGCGACGCCAAGGAGGTGAGGGGACCCCACGGTGGCCTTGGGGACCCCGCGGTGGCCTTGGGGACATCGTGGTGGCCTTGGGGATGTCCATCAAAGGCCACCAGGCTGGGCCAAAGGGGTTTGTTCCACCTTGGTGGCACCAAAAGTGTCCCCAAGTTGAATGTGGGGACAGTTCTTGGGGGTATCTGGGGGGTTGGGGACATCGTGGTGGCCTTGGGGACACCATGGTGGCCTTGGGGACGTCCAGTGAGGGTCACCAGGCTGGGTCAGGAAGCTTTGTCCCACCTTGGTGGCACCAAAAGTGTCCCCAAGTTGGGGTTTGGGGACAGTTCTTGGGAGTATCTAGGGGGTTGGAGACATCTGGGTGGCTTTGGGGACACCACGGTGGCCTTGGGGACATCCAGTGAGGGTCACCAGGCTGGGCCAAGGGGGTTTGTCCCACCTTGGTGGCACCAGAAGTGTCCCCAGGTTGGGGTTTGGGGACAGTTCTTGGGGGTATCTGGGGGTTGGGGACATCGTGGTGGCCTTGGGGACACCACGGTGGCCTTGGGGACATCCAGTGAGGGTCACCAGGCTGGGCCAAGGGGGTTTGTCCCACCTTGGTGGCACCAAAAGTGTCCCCAAGTTGAGTCTGGGGACAGTTCTTGGGGGTATCTGGGGGTTGGGGGACATCTGGGTGGCCTTGGGGACACTTGGGGACATCCATCAAGAGCCACCAGACTGGGCCAAGGGGCTTGGTCCCACCAGAAGTGTCCCCAAGTTGGGGTTGGGGACAATCCTCGGGGATCCCTGAGGGGATTTGGGGTGGCTTTGGGACACTTGGGGACATTTGGAGTGGCCTTGGGGACAACAATCAAGGGCCACCAACCCCATCCAAGCCCCCCGAGATGCCACCACCCCCCCACTGACCGTGATGTCCCCAGGCTTGGTGACAATCCCCGTTGTCCCCATTGGCCTTGGGGATGCTGGGGACACGGAGGCCACCACGGTGACACCGCGGTGACACCGATGTCCCCAAGCAGGGCCTGGAGGTGCCGCTGGTGGCCGTGGTCCGGTGGTCGACACCGAAGCTGCCGTTCACCAGCAGCATCGTCACCCACTACCGGTGAGTGCCACCCGCCGTCACCTCCGTGTCCCCAAGGCCACCAGAACCCCCTGTGGTGCCACCACCTCGTTGTCACCGCGTTGTCACCTCTTTGTCCCCATGTTCCTCCGTCCTCAGAACGTTCCGGGGCTCCTTCTGGACTTTCCCACGATGCCACCTCCATGTTCCCAATGTCCCCATGATGTCCCCAAGCCCTCCAGACCCTCCTGACTTCTTCTACGTGTGCCACCACCTCCTGTCCCCTCATTGTCCCAGTGCCACCATATCCTTATATCCCTTTGGGACTTCTCTGGGGTTGTCACATGATGCCACCGCCATGTCCCCAATGTCCCCATGATGTCCCCAAGCTCTCCAGACCCTCCTGGCTGCCCCTTCACATGCCACCACCTCCTGTCCCCTCATTGTCCCAGTGCCACCACATCCCCGGAGCTCTCTGGGGCTCCTTCAGCGGTGTCCCCGTGATGCCACCACCATGTCACCAGTGTCCCCAATGTCCCCAAGCTCTCCAGGCCCTCCTGGCTTCTTCTACGTGTGCCACCAGCTCCTGTCCCCTCATCGTCCCAGTGCCACCACATCCCCGGAGCTCTCTGGGGCTCCTTCAGAGGCGTCCCCACGATGCCACCTCCATGTCCCCAATGTCCCCATGATGTCCCCAAGCCCTCCAGACCTTCCTCATTGCCCAGGGCCACCTTTGAATGTGCCACCACCTCCTGTCCCCTCATTGTCCCAGTGCCACCACATCCCCGGAGCTCTCTGGGGCTCCTTCAGCGGCGTCCCCACGATGCCACCTCCATGTCCCCAATGTCCCCATGATGTCCCCAAGCCCTCCAGACCCTCCTGGCTTCTCCTACATGTGCCACCACCTCCTGTCCCCTCATTGTCCCAGTTCCACCAGATCCCCGGAGCTCTCTGGGGCTCCTTCAGCGGTGTCCCCGTGATGCCACCCCAATGTCCCCAATGTCCCCAAGCTCTCCAGACCCTCCTGGCTGCCCCTTCACGTGCCACCACCTCCTGTCCCCTCATTGTCCCAGTGCCACCACATCCCCGGAGCTCTCTGGGGCTCCTTCAGCGGCGTCCCCGTGATGCCACCGCCATGTCCCCGATGTCCCCATGATGTCCCCAGGCTGCCGAGCATCCGGCTGGAGCGGCCGCGCTTCGTGATGACGGCCACCTGCGAGTCCCCCGTGGTGGCCCTGCAGCGCTTCACCGTCACCTACACCCTGCTCAACGACCTGCAGGACTTCCTGGCCGTCCGGCTGGTCTGGACACCCGAGGCCACCGCCGGTGGGGACACTGGGGACACTTGGGGACATCTGGGGACATTGGGGACATCGAGGGGACTGGGGACACTTGGGGACATCTGGGGACACTGGAGGGATTGGGGACACTGGGGACCTGCAGGACTTCCTGGCCCTCTGGCTGGTCTGGACACCTGAAGCCACCACCAGTGGGGACACTGGGGACACTTGGGGACATCTGGGGACATTGGGGACATCGAGGGGACATTGGGGACATCGAGGGGACTGGGGACACTGGGGGGATTTGGGACATTGGGGGGGATTTGGGACATTTGGGGACACTTGGGGACTTCCTGGCCGTCCGGCTGGTCTGGACACCCGAGGCCACCGCCGGTGGGGACACTGGGGACATCTGGGGACATTTGGGGGATTGGGGACACTTTGGGACATTTGGGGACATTGGGGACATTGGGGACACTGAGGACATCGAGGGGATCCCCCAAGAAAAACCTAAAAAATCCCCAAAAAATCTCCCAAAAAACCCAAAAAATGCCCCAAAAATCAAAAAAAAATCCAAAAAAACCCACCAGAAAAATCCCCCCAAAAATCCCCAAAAAACCCCCCAAGAATCCAAAAAAAAACCCCAAATCCACCAAAAAATCCCCCCAAAAAGCCCAAATAACCACCAGAAAAATCCCCCAAAATAGTAAAAAATTCCCAAAAATCTGCAAAAAAAACCCCAAAAAATCCCTCAAAAAAATCTCAAAATTCCCCCCCAAAATGACCAAAAAAACTCCCAAAAAACCCCAAAGAAATCCCAAAAAATCCATTGAAAAACCCCCCAAAACCCCTTAAAAACCCCAAAAAAACCACTGAAAAAATTAAAAAAAAATCCCAAAAAATCCCCAAAATAAATCCCCTAAAAAAATTCCCAAAAAACCCCCAAAATCCCCCCCAAAAATTCCCAAAATTCCCTTTTCTGGCCGCAGGGAAGTCGCGGGGCGCGCTGGACTCGGTGGTTTGCCACACGCCGCTGACCAACCTGGGCTACTCGCGCAAGGGCAGCGCCCGCACCTTCCGCGTGGCCTTCCAGGCGCTGCGGGCCGGCCTCTTCGAGGTCAGTGCCACCTGTGCCACCTGTGCCACCTGTGCCACCTGTGCCACCTGTGCCACCCTCGGTGTCACCTCAGTGTCACCTGTGCCACCCCTGTCCCCGTTATCCCCCTCCTTACCCTGTTCCCAGTGTTCCCAGTATCCCCAGTATCCCCGTTCCAGGCGCTGCGGGCCGGCCTCTTCGAGGTCAGTGCCACC